AATACATGTTCTTTCATGACTACAGGTAAATGAAATAGATACTCTCAATTGCCTCTAAGTTTCAGGGCATGATTTCATTTATTTCCTAGGAATATTATTCTCTTTAAAGAAAGTGGTTCCATAAGAATTTACTGACTTGCCAAGCCACGTAGCTTGTTATAACCTGAGCCAAAACTGGAACCCACAGCCCTGATCCTTGGGCCAGTCTTCTTAGTTACAGTAACTCCCAGTTTAAGCCACTTCACATCCTTTCAGAAAATAGGATGCTTCAAACTTTAAAAAAAAAAAAAACCAAATGTTTCCTACATAAGCAATTTGTGTTCATTCTGGGTGTCTCATGTTTCTTTCGGAATAGCTTTTTTGAGATGGAGTTTTGCTCTTGTTGCCCAGGCTGGAGTGCAGTGGCATGATCTCCGCTCACTGCAAGTTCATGATCTCCGCCTCCCCAGTTCAAGCGATTCTCCTGCCTCAGCTTCCCAAGTAGCTGGGATTACAGGCTCCTGCCACTGCACCCAGCTAATTTTTTGTATTTTTAGTAGAGACAGGGTTTCACCATGTTGGCCAGGCTGGTCTCAAACTCTTGACCTCAAGCGATCTGTCCACCTTGGCCTCCCAAAGTGCTGGGATTACATGCGTGAGCCACCGTGCCTGGCCCCAGAATAGCTTTTCCTGAATTCCTTGTTAGAATAAAAAGTATTTCACTTTCTGAACACACTGTTCTTTCTTACAGGCAATCTGTACAGAAGCTGGTCTGATGGCCTTAAGAGAACGTAGAATGAAAGTAACAAATGAAGACTTCAAAAAATCTAAAGAAAATGTTCTTTATAAGAAACAGGAAGGTACCCCTGAGGGGCTCTATCTCTAGTGAACCACAGCTGCCATCAGGAAAATGGGAGATTTTTCCATCCCTAAAAGGGATGAGGTTGGGGGAGTTGCCCAGAGGAATCCCTGTTCCCATTGGTTTTTATTAGCAAAACATCCTGTGTCTTTTGGAGTACGATGTGTAAGTGCCCACTGGGTGGCCTTCGTCTGTCAGACATTGTGCAGCAGTCTGCTTCTCAATAAAGCGTGCTCTTTCACAAACACTGGCAGCAGCATGTGGGTGCACCTAGCTGCAGGGAAGTCTCCGGGCAGGAACTTTAGGCTGCGGTCACAAGGAGTGTGGACCTCACTATGTGTTCCCCGCATCACACCCCAGAGCTGGCGTTCACCAGTAATTCTGGGGTGGGGGAGAACTGATCACAACAACAGAGCCAGGGATATCCCTTCATTGTTCAAATAATAAAGGCTGAGTTAGTGTGTCTGGTGCTTCCAAAAAGATGGAAGAACAGCTTTACTTTTTGGAAGTTCTGTGGACCATGTGGGTTTTCTTAGCACTCTGAGGGCAGAAAATAACTACTGGTGTTCCCAAGAGACTAAGGATTCCTAGAGATATCCTGAAAGCCCTTGTTCTTGGGCTCAGAAACCTCATCCCTTTCAAGGTGTTCAGAAATATGTCAGAACTTCCTCTTCCCTTTTTCCATGTATTCCTTCATTTCTCTTTCCTTTCTGAACAAATCAGGCCTAAAGCTATTAAGTGGGGCAGATCAAGGTAAGTATTCCCTTGACAGGTGGCCTGGCTTGAGTCGTAGGGGCCTACACTGAGTCAGGAGGGTATATTAATTTTCTGTTAACACCGTAACAAGTTACTGCAGGCTTTTTTAAAAAACAGCACAATTTGGCCAGTCGCGGTGGCTCACCCCTGTAATCCCAGCACTTTGGGAGGCCAAGGCGTGTAAATCATGTGGTCAAGAGATCAAGACCATCCTGGCCAATATGGTGAAACATAGTCTCTACTAAAAATACAAAAAAATTACCTGGGGGTGGTGGTACACACCTGTAGTCCCAGCTACTTGGGAGGCTGAGGCAGGAAAATGGCTTGAACTCAGAAGCCAGAGGTTGCAATGAGCTGAGATCATGCCACTGCACTCCAGCCTGGGCGACAGAGCAGACTCCGTCTTTAAAAAAAAAAAAAAAAAAGCACAATTTTATCTCGGTTCTACAGGTCAGAAGTCCAACACAGTGTCTCCAGGCTAAAGTCAAGCTGTTGGCAGGACTGTTCTTTCTGGTGGCTTCTAAGGGAGAATCCATTTTCTTGCTGAGGGTTGTCAGAATTTAGTTTCTTGGAGTTGTGGGGCCGAAGTCAGCATTTCCTTGCTGGCTGCCAGCGGAGGCCTTTGCCAGTGTATGAAGGACACTCTCCCTCCCGGCTTGCAGCCCCTCATGTGCCAGCAGCAGCAGGCTCAGTCCCTCTCTCCAACTGGCCCTTCTTCCTGCCTTTTCTACTCTTACAGACCCTTGTGATTACATTGGACCCACGCAAATAATCCAGGGTAATCTCCCAATTTTAAAGTTTATCTTAATTTTAACTCCCAGTTTTAAAGTTTACTATCTTAATTTTTATCTGCAAAGTTCCTTTTGCTATGGAATATTCACAGGTTCCAGGGCTTAGGGTGTGGCCATCTTTAGGGGGACATCACACATGATGGGGTGTGGCCCAGTGCAGGGTGAGGGCAGGGTACTCATGGAGAGGCTGGGCATCAGTCCAAGCAGGGTGTGGAGCTGTCCTGTTGAGGGGCACCACAGCACAAGGACTCAGCATGGGCAAGGTGAGGCTAGCATCCGTGTGGGGTGTGCATGCAGGGCTGGGGTGGTCCGATGCAGGGAGTCAGTGTGGGCAGCCTGATGTGCAGTATGAGAGCCCAAGTGGGTGAGGGAGGCATCTGCAGGAACAGGATGGTAGCAGCGGAGGGAGGCTGCTTATGTATGGAGACGGTCAAGGAGGTGATAAACGGGACGGTGGAAGCCAGGTTTCTCTGAGGAGTTAAATACAGAAAGGACAAAAATGAGAACAACCTCTGTCCACTGGGAATGCAAGACCCAGACCTTTGCTTCTAAGTATTCTCCACTAAAAGGAGCGAGGGCTGATTCCAGGACCAGGCAGGGAAAGGACAAGATGAACCCAAAGTCTGTTTTGCCAGAAAGCAAAGGCATGCTCAAGGAATGAGAAGGACATGTTCAGAGGACACAGAAGCCTGTGTGAAGGGGCTCCCACTGCCAAATCTGGAACAGTCTGAGCATCCAAACAGTTAACTATCAATGGAATACAGTATAGCCCTTCAGGGAACTACACACATACCAATACATAGGAATTGATCTGGAAGTTAGCTGAGGGAGGGGTGTTTACGGATTTTGAGAGTCCCCCACAAAACACTTCCATTGGAAAGTTACACAGGAGAAGCACAGCGGACACCATCATCATCAAGTGGTCAAAATGCACATCAGTGATGGGCACCTTTAAAGAAGGTGCCACCCAAGGGTGTCACTGCTGTCACACTCCTGCCAAAGATGCTTAGCCTGAATCCAGTCATGAACAAACACCAGGCAAACTGAGGAACATTCTTCAAATTCAGACACTTCAAAAGTGTCCACGACCTTAAAGTCAAAAAAGCTTCCAGTCAGGAGACCGAAGAGATGACAACCAAATGCAGCTCATGATCCTGAACTGGAGCCTTTTCCTAGGGGACGTGACCGGGGCCGGAGGGCCAGCTGGGAGGACTGCGTCCGTGCTGACTTCCTGTTCCATGTCTGCATCACGGGCAGGCAGGAGACTGTCAGCAACTGACTCTCAAATGGTTCAGGAAAGAAAATTCTTTGTAATGCACTTGCACCTTTTCCGTAAGTTTGAGATTAAAAAACAAAAAAACAAAAAACCCAGCACATCAGTACTGCCTTTTCCTCACTGGTAATAGCTGAGTCTTTTCCTCTAGAGGGACAGTCTCCCTTATGTCAGTCCTACAAAAGAAGCTAAAGCAAACGCCAGGCCCTAGCGCGTGTCGGCACAGTGGCTGCACTGCAGCCACCCCAGCTGCTTCTCCAGTTTGCTTATTGACCAACATGCTGAAATGACTATTTCAGCAGCGGGTCACCGAGGCCTGCGGTGCCAAGCACTGGGAATGCAGGGGTGAACTGCTTGTGAAACAACAGAATTCCCAGAGCAATTTTTCTTCCCTGGCTTCCTGCACTGGCGAGCCGGACAGGGATTGCCCCATTTGCCTGCAGAAAACCCGCTGGCTCTGTGGAGCCCTTCCTCAGTGGAACCATCGGAGGTGAACTCTCCCATCACTCCCTCTGCAGCAAGCACGTCTTCACTTTTCCAATACAAAATGACATGTGTACCTTGCAGGTAGTAGCTACCAGGGCTGCTGGCCTTACAGCTGCCTCCTCCTCCTGGGAACACAGCAGAGAGGTGCCTCCTGACCTCCCTCAACACTTCAGAGCTCAGGGAAGATGAGAAAACCATTCCTCCCAGCCATATGTTAATAGTGAAAATGATTCAGCACTAAAAATCTCTTCAGAGGCAGAGCAAGTCTGAAAAATGGATGTGGACACTTCACTCTGCTCACAGCCCTCGGAAAGTACGCCAGAACCAGCGTCGGCCATCACAGCATAAGCAGTGTTGCTGCACCAGCATGTCGGGCCCCTCCTGCAGGCAGGCCCGGAGCCGGCGGGACAGCATGCTTGGCTCTGAGGTGGCTTGGGAGCAGTTTTCCCACAGAGGCTGCCACTGCCCCAGGCAGCCTTCCACACTCCAGTGGCCTCGACCCTGCTGAAGAGCGGGTTCTGACTCCATATGGTCAGGCCCGAGTTGCTCAGCAGCCCCAGGGCATGCTGCCCCTCCAGCTCCAGATGGAGGAGTTGCCTCCAGAGTGCATTAGGAATGACTAGGAACTTTCCACACACTACATGCAGGCCAGAACCCAAGCGTTAACTGCGGCTCTGAAGACAAGCAAAATCTGCTCACCAGCCTGGGGAAGACATCCTAGTGCTGACAAACCAAACCTTTATCTCAGAGAGGGCCTGGCAGGGCCACCATGACGCCAGCCGAGGGGACACATCACCCTGCGGGGGCCAGTGCTGGCTGCGCACAGGGAGAGAATGAGCAAGGGCGTGGCCACACCTCAATCATCATCGGTTTAATGACCACTTGGCATGACTCCCTGGCTATGTACATATATACACACATACACATATATAATATGTAAACAGCTTTTGTGTCATTTTCACACCCCAAAAGTGTGCCAGATGTGAGAGGCTGCCAGCCCAGACACATTATTAATATTGAGAAAGAACATTTCAAAAGCTGAGGTCTCTAACGCACACATTCTCCGCTCATGCCGCCTGGCTCTGCCAGGTGGGCGACTTGGCCTCATAGGCACGGTCTATTCCCCGCGGCTCTAATCCTCCAGCAGCAGCTCCAGCTCCTCCAGTGGCAGGCGCACCCGGAGCTCCTTCTCGGTCATCAGATCCAGGACCTCCTGCATCTCCTCGGGGAAGTACTCCACGGCATCCAGGTACAACACCTAGGGGCAGGCAGGAAGGCCACCCTGCTCAGCCCGCCCTTCCTGTCAGCATGGAGGTGCTCAGGAAGAAAGGGCAGGTTCCTCCTGTCACCTCCACAGCCCGCGCTCCCCTCGGCTCAGACTTTTCTAACTCAGGCCGCACTGGGCATGCTCAGGAAGGACACTGAACTCCAGAGCGAAAGCGAGCAAACTCCAAGTGAGACCTTCTCTTTCACAAGGCGGGCCAGGACTGGCTGGCCGTCACCCTCAGTTTGACTTCTGAGTGTCACCTGACCTGGGCTCTCACAGCTGGGCTGAGACATGATCCCAACTCTTTCGGCATCTGGGCTGATCTCTAAGCAAACGCTGGGAAACCAGCTACCCACAGCAACACTTGCATGAAGCACTGGCCCCAGGGAGGGCCAGGCTCTGCCTCCACAGGGACATTTCACCAGGAAAAGGCTCTGGATGTACCTTGGGACAGTATATGGCGTCCATGAGCCGAGCATCCCCGATGCCATGGGGGCAGGCCGGGAAGACAGTAGCTGGGCAGAGACGTGGCAGGGAGTCTTCAGGAAGCTGAAGACACCATGGCGTTAACACTTACCTTTGCCCACGGACAATTCTGAAGTGCTTTGTAGAATACACCTTTGCTTCTTTCTTTATTTCCTAAGGAAACCTGAGGTGAGGGGAGAAAATACAAAAATGATTAGTTGGCAGAGAGGCCCAGGCTACACGAACACCCCTGGACTGGCGTGCACTACCCCTCGGCTGCAGTAAGCCTGCCTGTGCGGAGGCCCTGGCACCCTCACGGTGGCCGTGGGTAGGGCCAGGTACCAGGGAGGGCTCTCTGAAGCCACTGCTGTGTGGGGGTCACTTTCCCCCCATGAACGGCCCCGGAGTGTCAGGCCTGATCGTGTCCGGCTTTTTAGTCTTCTGTCTCCTCCTCTGCTGTGGGCTGTCACGTCTTGGCGTTAGTGCTTAAACCAAGGAGTGTGTCAGTGAGATGAGGCCAAAGACCTTATTCAAATAGAGAAAAGTTCTTCTGCAATACTTAGGGAAAACAGAAGATACCTGCTTTAATACTTGCCATTTTCTGAAAACTATCTTTTAGAGAAACAAGACAGCCAGGACTGTGATCAGCAACCTTCCTAACGGGGCAAGTTGCATCGGCAATCTCAGCACCACCATGTGGATGCTCAGCACATGTTCTCTCTAGATGTAAAACCCTCCATCCCAAGTCAGCCACAGGACCTCCTTCCCAGCCCAGTGTGGAAGGAGACCCAGCTTGAGGCCTCCGACAGCCCCTCTCAGGCCCCTCCAGGGAATTGCAGCCCACACGGGCAGCTCCACAGGCAGCAGGCTGTGCCACCAGGAGTGTGGCACAGGCAGGCTGTGGAGATGAAGTCTGTGTTTCCACCCCTCTCCTTCAGGCTCCCATCCCTCAGAAGAACGTTCTAGGGGATGCTGGCCCTGCCCAGCCAGGTGGCCGGGGTGCAGCATCCAGGCCAGGACCAGTGAGGACTGCTGACCAGCCTAACCCAGAAACCCGAACAATGGCATCTAGGGACTCCGATTTACTTCTCAGGAACTCCATCTACCAAGGATGTCCTCACTCCCTTTTCAATTTGTTTTTGTTTGCTTGATTTTTTTTCAGGGTCTATGTTACCTAAGCTGGCCTTGAACTCCTGAGCTCAAGCAATCCTCCCACCTCGATCTCCCAAGTGGCCGGAACTCCATGGCCGGTGCTTCTCAGTTAACTCCCAGAGTCACAGGAACTGGAGCTTGACAACCTTGCTTCAGGCAAGGCCCAGGCTGCCTCCAGCCTCTGCAAGTGCCACCCACAGGGCCAGCTGTGAGGCTCAGAGGACTCCTGCGATCCTCCCTGGTGTGAGCCTCCAGTTCTGAGGCTGAGCCTCTCAATTTATAACCAAAGAGCCACTGAGCGCTGCCCTTCCTTCCCATCCCAACATATGTCAATGTCCTCTCTCAGGATACTGACAAAATATAAGCCTTTTGTCCTTTCTGAAAGAAAAAAGAAAAACTTTATGACTGTACTGTCTCAACCATGCACAGCTAATCCTGGAACCCAACAAATCCGGGCAGGCAGCTAGCTGGCCTCCCTTGGCACCGGAGATGCCCTCACTGTCCAGAGGTATGGAAGGGCTCGACGCCAAGTGAAAGCTTGGTGATGACCACGTGTGGCTTCCGTCCATGATTCCATATTCTGAGACATGGCCTTGTGTGTATCTTTGCCCTATGACTGGCGCAGAGTCTCGAGGGGGGGAAGAGCTCATGGGTGCTATCTGGGTCTCCTGGTCCTCCTTCCTCACCTTCTAAACTGACAACTGAGACCCCTTATGAAATTCCTAAGTCAGGATGAAACATAACACAGGGAGCGACTCTTCTTTGCTTGCGTTCCCATGGTACTGTGTCTGCCACCCCACAGGACTGTGGCCAGGTAAATGTCCCCTCAGGCGGACTGGGAGCATCTCAGGGCACCAACTGCATCTTTGCTGGGAACCTAAGAAAACAGCTAATGGAGGAGCAGAACTGCCATGATGGGTCCCCAGGTGAGTGTGTGATTCAGCCAAGGCCAGTCTCCCAGAGGGAAGTGGGACCGGAGACTTCACAGAGAGGCTTCTTCCCTCACACGAACCCAGGAACTGAATCTCATCCAAACCATCTGAGGAACTCAACCAACAAGATGCTGGCCGGGTGTGGTGGCTCATGCCTATAATCCCAGCACTTTGGGAGGCCGAGGCAGGCAGATCACCTGAGGTCAAGAGTTTGAGACCAGTTTGGCTGACATGGCTGACAAACCCATCTCTACTAAAAATACAAAAATTAGCTGGAATCATGCCTGTAATCCCAGCTACTGAGAAGGCTGAGGTAGAACAGCTTGAACCTGGGAGGCAGAGGTTGCAATGAGCGGAGCCTACCACTGTACTCCAGCCTGGGCAACAGAGTAAGACCTTGTCTCAAAGAAAAAAAAGAAAATGTTGATTTATTTTTATTTTTTGAGATGGAGTCTCACTCTGTCGCCAAGGTTGGAATGCAGTGGCATGCCCTTGGCTCACTACAGCCTCTGCCTCCCAGGTCAGCAATTCTCCTGCCTCAGCCTCCCAGGTGGCTGGGATTACAGGCACATACCACCATGCCCAGCTACTTCTTGTGTTTTTAGTAGAGATGGGGTTTCACCACGTTGGCCAGGCTGGTCTCAAACTCCTGACCTCAGGTGATCCACCCACCTCGGCCTCCCAAAGTGCTGGGATTACAAGCATGAGCCACCGTGCCTGACTGGAAATGTTGATTTTTAAAATTATATTATAGATTGCATTTTTTTTTTTAAGAGACAAGATCTCACTTTGTCATCCAGGCTGGAGTGCAGTGGTGTGATCATGACTCACTGCCACCTCAAACTCCTGGGCTCAAAAAATCCTCCCACCTCAACCTCTAGAGTAGCTGGGACCAAAGGCTTACACCACCACACCCAGCTAATTTTTAAATTTTCTGTAGAGATGCGGTATCGCCATCTTGCTTAGGCTGGTCTCGAACTCCTGGGCTCAAGCAATTTTCCCACCCTGGCCTCCAAAAGTGCTGGGACTACAGGTGTGAACCACTGCACCCAACCCGAATCTTATCTTTTAATAACAAAACAATCAGGATCTAGAAATTCTTATGAGCAGAATGGCAAAGAATATAGGTTTCTTTAAAAGGAAAGCTCTTAGACCATTTTGCAAGTTGCCGACCTGCAATCAACTCAAGAGAAACCCACATTCAATTCCATTGCACCGAACAGCCCAGTAGCTAGTCTTCAACTTCATTCTACCAAGTATTTAGAGGAGATGGACCACTTGCACCCTCTTGCCAAGTCCTGAGAGATGTGACATTACTCCATCAGGATTTCTTAGTGATCAGCCAATGCCAAGAAGATGAGACTGAAATAAGGCCTCCAGCTCTCCCGGGCAGGGGCTACTGGACACCTGCACTTACTTATTTGCAAAGAAGAAGTAGAGCTCTGCGTGAACACACAACATCTCAGTATTTTCTTACCAAAAAGTTCAAATACATCCTCCACAGCAAGGGGCACTGGCTGCCACTGTCGCTGCGCATGGCATTTTCAAACAGGGCTTGGATCCGATGCGTTAAGCCGGTCTCAGGAATTGTGGCGTGGATCTCTCTACCGTCTAACCTGCAAGGCAAAGGCTCACATGACTCTGACACAAGTTCTCTCATCCAACATCACAGGAGGAGAAGATGCCTTAGTGACGACAAATGTCAGCAACAGCCAGATCAGAGAGTCAGGAAGCAGCTGTCCCTCAGGCGTGGGGTACTGTGTATGGGGCTGCTCCAAGGCCAGGAGAAGGCACAGACCGGGGTTCTGTGGTTTCTACACCACACTGAACCTTTCCCAGAGTTACGCAAAAACCCCCAAGCCTCTGTTTTCTAAAGAAAGCTACCCTTTAATCAGCAGAATGCAAATTCTACTTTACAGGAAGAAAAGACCTTTAGATTTAAAGTAGAGAAGGCAAGGCTTGCATGGAGTGAACAAAATCCCAATGGAATAAAAAACAAGTGAAATATTATCCAAAGACCATTTTGCCTTATAAGGTCAGAGTGAAGCAACTGCAAAGATTCTGGGAAAACGATGCCTAAGCTAATGTGTCCCCAGATTAACATTCAACCTTCAGAGAGAAAATACTGGATCAGGCCGGACACCCTGGCTCCCTCCTGTAATCCCCACACTTTGGAAGGCTGAGATGGGAGGATCGCTTAAGCTCAGGAGTGGGAGACCAGCCTGGGCAACATGGCAAAACCCCATCTCTACAAAAAATACAAAAGAAACCCAAATTAGCCAGGCGTGGTGGTGCCTGTAGTCCCAGCTACTGGAAAGGCTGAGGTGAGAGGATCACTTGAGCCCAGGAGGTCAAGGCTGCAGTGAGCTGAGACTGTACCACTGCACTCCAGCCTGAGCAACAGAATAAGACCCTATCTCGAGAACAAAAAAAAAAAGAAAATATCATATCAAAGATGGTAATGAAACATGACACTGCTGTCACTAGGAATGCTGACAGAGGCCCCAGTCATTCCGCACTTGTGCCAGGCACTTACCTCACTGACCCTCAGAGAGATCCCTTGACCCTTGTAGGTTTCCATTTGACAGAGAGGGACTATGAGAGGGGAAGTGGCCTGCTCGAGTTCACCCAGGTGAGAAGAGCTGGCACTGGAATCCACAGAGCAGACGCCCAGCCCGTGCTCTCAGCCATCATGCTTTCGTGACAGCTTCTCAGCACTCCCATGGTCTGACGGTCACCACCCATGCACACAGAAGCAACATTCACACTTCCCAGAGCATACCCATGAGACAGTGACCAACTCCTCTCCTGAGAGGCACTGCTACTCTGTGTCTGGCTCGCCTTTCAATCCGTTCTTTTTTTTTTTTTTTTAGATGGAGTCTTGCTCTGTCACCCAGGCTGGAGTACAGTGGCCCAATCTCGGCTCACTGCAACCTCTGCCTCCTAGGTTCAAGCAATTCTCCTGCCTCAGCCTCCCGAGTAGCTGGGATTACAGGCACGCACCACCATACCCAGCTAATTTTTGTATTTTTAGTAGAGATGGGGTTTCACCATGTTGGCCAGGATGGTCTTGATCTCTTGACCTCGTGATCCCCCCACCTCAGCCTCCCAAAGTGCTGGGATTACAGGCGTGAGCCACCGCGCCCGGCCTCAATCCATTATTCTACAGCACTCACATCCCACACAGGTGTTCCGGGCACCGTGCCGTGTTCATCCCTGTATTCCTGAGACCCGGCAAGGTGGGGGGAACACAGCCAGCATTCCATAAACATCTGTGGGGCACACGAACAAAGTCTGTCTGGAATTACCTCTGAACAGTTTCCACTAGTCTTTTCCTCATTTTCTCAGCTTCAATTGCAAACAGCCAAGGCTCCAACGGTTTAGCAGACCTGGTGATTGTGTCAAAAAATCTCCTGGTCTTGCTGGCGCTGTGGGACTTATTCTGAATCTGGACATAGGACCTCCAAAGAACCTGGTTGCCTGGATACAGCTTTAAAGCCTGTGAGAGTGCCTCTCGCAGAGGGGCCAGCGGGTAAACACTCACTTTCATGTGGAATCTCAGCAGGCTTGCGTGCATCAGTGTGATGGCTTCGAGAAAACTGCTCCGACTCTGGGAGCTGGCACTATTCCCCTCGCCAGAGCCTTCTGGAAAAACAGAACTGTGCAGTTTGGCAAATACCTGTTCGTATATCCGTACAGCAGCACCAATCCCGACAGTCAAATACTGGAAGAGCATGAAGCATTTGGACAAGCTAATTAGGCGGGTACAAGAATCGGTGGGAGCTGGATCGGAGACACAGCTGTCACCCAAATAGTCCTGCAGCGCGTGCTCGTAAGCTTTTCGTGCTTTCAAAATGTGAACAGCCAACACCTGTCCAGTGTAGGGCCCGTAGGGGCTGCTCTCGGTCAGCTTGGTTAATATGTGAACAGCTCGGGCGGAGGCGGCCCCTCTCACTTCCGGCGACAGCTCCACCTCCAGCTCCACCTCCAGCTTGGCATAGAGAAGACTGAGCTCACAGAGTTCAGAGTCCTTCAGTCCTTGGCTTCCTGCCATGCCCAGTGCTGTGTCAAAAACTTTTCTAGCATCCTCTGTGTTGCCAAGCAACCACTCCAGATGGGCATACTGCTTCCAGAGGCAAAAGTTGTTGCGGTTTTCTGGCTCCTTAAGGAGATTCTTGGCTAGTTTTTTGCAGTTCTTCCCTTGTGACTTTAATCTCTTCTTGTTTTTAGTGTGCAGACACCACACGACCTACATAAGAAAGAGAAGAATGACTCTAGGTGCTCTGTAATTTTAAGGCGTCCCTCCACACTGCCAACTCTAGAAAGCATTGGCGGTTAAAAAAGGGTCTACGCTTCCTTCCTTTATCACGGGTCTGGTAAACACTGAGGCTCTCTGAGCTGGAAAAGAAATGAGAACTTTAACCAGGGCCATAGGTGCCCCCAGGTTAACAGTCCAGGGTTCCAGCTAAAATCTCTATAAACAAGTCTGATATCCACAAATGTTCTTCTCCATAGAGATGTGGCCACAACATTTTATCACACTATTTAACACAAGCTGGTGTGTGTAATCTGTAGTTAAGGCTTCAGAACTTGGGTGCTAAGAGAGTCAATACTAACTGTGGCCAGCAGAGGGCACAACAGCCGATTCAAACTCATTTCTAGCAGACAGAAAGAGGAGGGTATTCTAAGTAGCTTATTATTTTAATAAGCCCCTGAATGTTCTGACGCTGCTTTAAAACTGTTTTGAGCACTCACTGTTCATATAAGGACGGGCTGGTAAGGCAAGACAATACAATAAACAGCTCAAGAGTCACTGGGGTAGCCTGACTTGTTCCTGTCTGTCTTCACTGCAGCCCCTCAGAAGGGCAAACATACACAAAGCGCCTTCAGGGTCACTGGAGGAGGCGGCGCTGCGGCATAGTTCCAGAGAGCACTCGGAGGCTTACAATCCCGTTTATAAACACCGACATGAAATGAAAAGTCACCAGACACGGAAAGTGTCTGGAATTACCTTTCCAATCTCATACTGTAACCAGGAGAAGCAGAGCTGAGACTTCTCTTTGCCTGAAAACAAAGGCATGACCAGGTGGAAGACGTTGCGGATGAACTCCTCGCCCTCTCGGTTCTGACCCCTGGTCCAGCGAGGACAGCCCAGCCGGTCCATGCGGCCCACACAGCTGGCCCCGGAAAACAAAGGGTTGAAAAAAGTCAAGGGCTTTTCATCATAAAGTCCATTATCAAAGATGCTGTGCTCATCCATGGCCAGATAAAGACAGGAGGCTGGCAGAGTGAAGCCGGAAGGCACACCCAAGAACTGCAGAAAGGCCACCACCAGCTGGAACTGCAGGTCTTCGCTGGAGAGTCTGATCAAAGACTGCCCGATATCATCAAACAGCACCTGCAACCGAGACAAAAAAAAGCGACCCATGTAACAAACAAAACCTGCACGCTTTTCACCACTCTCTTTATATGCGTGCACTGATTCATTATTCAAATTAAATACATTTTAAATAGCGAGGCGCTCAGCTCTTCGTTAGCAAAAGCCAGAGGCCTCACAAGATGACCTGAACAGCCTGGACAGCGGGAGGGTAACTGTTTAGTGGCCCTGTGGTACCATTAACATTTCCAAACGTGGGGAGGCCTGGGAAGGAGAGAAGATGTGAACGGGTTTAAGGCAGGAGCTTTCAAAGTATCCTGACGGATCTGTAGAAAATCTGGAAACGTGTTCACTTCTGAAAGCATACGTAATTGCTTTTGTACTCTGATAACGCATGATTGTGAAAAATGTTTTATTGTAAGATGAAAGATAAGAACTTTACTATTTGTGGTTTCCTTGTACAAAACTGCTCCAAGAAATGAAAAATATGCTCAAAACTAGATAAACGGGTGCAAGGTAGGAAGGAACCTCCAGGAGCAATGGAGCATGTTAAAAGCAATTACAAGAGCCTAATACTAACTCTGAATGTCTGTAGCTGAGTTCGTGTAATAATTTAAAAACATAAGGCCAAGGAGGCCACCCTTTGTGTCCTGGTGCTGCTTATCTGACTGGTCTTTGTGGCTCTCAGCAAAGAGGACATCACAACACAAGCACGATAAACTAGAGTATGCGGGACTCAATCAAAACCATCAATAAATCAGAAAGCTGCTTCTCTGTGTTAAAAATAATTAGGAAGCTTTTCTTCCCCAGGCTTTGATTACAGAAAAAGCTAAATGGAAGAAACTGCTCGCAGCAGCAGTCTGCTCCAGAAATCTGCTTCCAGGAGGCTGCTGGGACTCGGAGCCTTGAGAAATGACTTCCAGAAGGGTGGCTGTGAACTCTACAAAATCCTCAGAAACCAAAGAAAGATTCCACTCTTCTGCAGACATTGTTTCAGTGGGGCAGAGGGCCTCACGGGCAGTCCCCTAAGCCTTCTGGTGAGGTGAGGCTTCCCTGGAAGCCGGCCCCTCCTTCCTCCAGAGATCACCTCTTCTCTGAGTCCCCACTCCAGTCTGGCCACCCCATTCCCTACTCCTCAAACGCTCCTGGCACTCTGGGGCCCTCACCTATGCTGATCCCTCTGCCCAAAGCAGATGCTCCGTCATCAAATATTCCTTCAACATCCAAGCAGATTCACTGAGTGCTCACCACAGCACAAACGCTGTTCTAGGCACTGATGTCACAGCAGTGAACAAAAGGGATAAACTCTGTGCCTTCAGGGCACCTCATTTGTAGAAAAGGTCACAGAACTCCAAGACACAAAATTGGTATCTTGTGAAAATGGATCAATTCCAGGTATCAAGGTAGCATTGCTTCCTTTAATTTAAAACCTCCAGAGCTGCTGGCCACTAAACACAGGGCAGCATGTACCAAGTCACATGGTAACATAATGAGATAAAACGAGTGAAGTGCCTGGTATGCCAAAGGTGTTCAGTAAACGCTAGTTTCTTCTTTCGCAAGACACGCTGATGCCAAGTGTCCAACACGGACCCTACAGCCAGCCCCTCTTGTCTTCTAGAGTCCAGTCTACCTGCTAGGCTTCACGGACTCAAGAGTGGGGTGGGGAGAGCGGACACAAGGAAAGAATCTAGAACAGGGATTCCAAGTTTTGTAAACAATCTCCATGTATCCCACAGGGTTCCTTCCACATGAAAAATTAACTGAATGACCTGGAAGACAATCTCCAGAGGGGTGACCACAAGGGCCTACCACCTAGTAGGGGAAAGGAGCTCTCTGGTCAAGTGCCTATATGCTCCCCCAATCAACAAGGAAATTCTACACTGATACCCGGCAGGAAGTTTCCACAGACAAAAAGGAGCAGGTTGGCATCTCCTAAGCCAGCCAAGTGCTCAGAAAGCTCCTGGGGCCTCCTTTCAGATAACCAAAGTGCACCGGAATGGAAAGCAGACAGAGGCCCCCACTCGGCTTCCACCTGGGTGGAGGGTACGTGCCTGTCTCTCGGGATCCTCACAGTCTTCCTCCGTTTGCTTCTTGGTCTTATCAGGGCGCCAGGGCCGCCAGTGCCTCTGGTCTCGGGAACGCTCAGCAGCAAGCCAGATCTGCCACCTGGGCAGAGTCTTATCTTTTATTTCCTGGTCGTCCTCTTCTGGTTCTTCGTCATCCTCGTCTAGACAAGAATGAGATGTCTTCACCTCATCAGCATATAAAACCACCATTGCCACTCAATGAGCTATGTCAGGGAGTGCTGGGCACCCGCAATGCCAAGATGCCTAAGAGCCATGCCAGCCTCCCCAGATATTCAGTGGGATTTAGGAACTCTATTGTAATCAGTCAAGTCCTCAGGAAACAAAGGAGGACAAGATGATAAAATCATATTATTTTAAATATTACAGTGATTAGAATGGAAATGACACATACTCTAGAAGAGTACTGTCCCACAGAACTCGTTGTGATGATACAGATGCTCTACATATCTGCATTGACAGGTAGCCACATGTGACTCACCGGGCACGTGAGATGTAGCTAGGAAAGGAACTGAATTCCTTTTCTTTTTTTTTCTGAGCTGGATTCTCGCTCTTGTTGCCCAGGCTGGACTGCAGTGGTGTAATCTCAGCTCACTGCAACCTCCATCTCCCAGGTTCAAGCAATGCTCCTGCCTTACCCTCCTGAGTAGCTGGGGTTACAGGCATGTGCCACCACTATGTCTGGCTGATTTTTTCTATTTAGCAGAGATGGGGTTTTGCCATGTTGGTCAGGCTGGTTTCGAACTCCTGACGTCAGGTCATCCACCTGCCTCGGCCTCCCAAAGTGCTGGGATTACAGGCATGAGTCACCATGCCTGGACTGAATTCTTAATTTTATTTAATTTTAAATTGCCACATGTGACTAGAGGTTACTGTATTGGACAACATAGTTTTAGAATGCTAAATAACATTTAATGATGGTATTAGTTTAGATTTTCTTAAGTCACTATTATTTTTAGCCAAAGACCTTATAATTAATTATGACCTATGCTCCTTAGAACTTGCCTTTTAAAAAGCCAAATCAGGATATCTAATACTTTGTTTCCTAATTCTTAACATGCAGAACGGAAGAAGAGAAAAGCTGGAGTTATCGTAAAGTTCAATGTTAAAAATAAATAAGGCATATAAAATGGTACAGCCATACAGGAAACCATTCCGGCAGTTTCTTACAAAACTAAACAGGCACTTAGCATAACTGCACTCTTGGGCACTGATCCCAGATAAATGAACGCCTGTGCTTACACAAAAACCTACATGCTAATGCTCAGGAGCAGCTTTATTCATAATTGCCAACACCTGGAAACAATCCAAACATCCTTCAGTAGGGTTGAACAGTTAAACTGTGGTCTGTTTACACAATGGAATACTACTCAGCAATAAACATGAGCGAACTACTGATATATGCAACAATATGTATGTATCTCAGGGAAATTATGCTACATTTAAAAAGCCAGTCTCAGAAAGTTACACACAAACCAACTGCTGCCAGGGATGTGGAAAAATCGGAACCCTTGTGCACTGCTGGTAGGAATGTAAAATGGTGCAGCTGCCGTAAGCCGTGTGGAAAACAGCATGGCATACTAGACACGGGACTTCCATATGATGCGGCAATTCCACTGCTGAGTATCTGTCAGGAGAACTAAGACATTCACAGCAGCATTATTCACAATGGCCCAGAGGCGGAAGCAACCAGAGTGTTCACTGATGAATGGACTGACAAAATGTGGTGGATACATACAGTGGAGAAGCGTTCAGCTTTAAAAAGGAAGGAAATCCTGGTGCAACATGGATGAAGCCTGAAGACACTATGCCAAGTGGAATCAGCCAGTAACAGAAGGTCAACTGCTGTGTGATTCCACACACACCAGGTTCCTAAAGCCGTCGAATTCACAGAGACAGACAGTAGAATGGTGACAGCTAGGGCCTGGTGGGAGGGAGAAATGAGGAGTTTGTCTTTAGTGGGTACAGATTTGGGGAAGATGAAGACGTTCCGGAGGTGGATGGAGGTGACGGCTGCCTGACAGTGTGAATGTACTTACCGTCAGTGAACTGTATGCTTAAAAATGATCAATTTTATGTTATATATATTTTACAACTAAAAAAAATTGTGTTAATAAGTTATATACCATATGATTCCATTTATATAACTTTCATGAGATAACAGGATAAGAGAGAGAGAATAACGTTTCCCAGGAGTTAGGGAGGGGGAAGGGGCAGATGCGGCTAAAAAAGGACAGCGCAAGGGAGCCTTGCGGTGATGAAACAGTTCTGTATCTTGATGTGGCAGTGATTACACAAAGCTACACACATGATAGGAACTACCTAGTACTACAGAGACCCACACACACAAATGAATGCATGTCAAATGCGAAATGTGAATAAACTCTGCAGACTGTACCCATGCCAGTTCCCCAGCTGACACTGTGCTGTAGTACTACCACTGGAAAGAACTGGACCAAGGGTGCATAAAACCTCCTAGTACATTTTTTCTACTTGTTGTGACTCTATATTATTTCAAAATAAAATATTTTTTAAAACCCAAATAAACACATAATGTATATATTAGCATTCTATTATTCTACCAATATTCTGTCTAAATGCTTTTGAGTTTCTCAAAAAGAAACTAAAATTTAACTATTTATCACCTTCTTCTAAAGATCTATGTTTAAAGTAATCTTTTAATCACTCTGAAGAAGTCTTTATATATATATATATATTTTTTTTTTTTTTTTTTTTTGAGACGGAGCTTCACTCTGTCACCCAGGCTGGCCTCACTGCAACCTCTGCCTCCCAGGTTCAAGCAATTCTCCTGCCTCAGCCTCCAGAGTAGCTGGGACTACAGGCGCCCACTACCATGCCCAGCTAATTTTTGTGTTTTTAGTAGAGATGGGGTTTCACCATGTTAGCCAGGATGGTCTTGATCTCCTGATCTCGTGATCTGCCCACCTCAGACTCAAAGTGCTGGGATTACAGGCGTGAGCCACCATGCCCAGCCTGAAAAACTCTTAAAAGAGAAATTACCTTTGTGAGCCATACATCAGACTTAGACACCTGAATCTACTACATTAAGGACTCAAAAGATTACATGGCTTTGGACAGACATTCATGTATAACAATTACACACCAACAGAAAGTGAGGGCAAGAGAGAAGAAACATGCTGTGAGAAACGCTCAAATATGTGATGAAATCAACTACCCTCTAAACACTAACCCTCTCAGGATAAATAAGGGAAATTAAAAATAAAATAAAAACAAAAACTGTGATTAACTAGGTTTGCTGGAATCAAGAAAATTTTCAGCCTTTCTTTTGACCCTCCTAGTGTTTTGGAGGACTTCCATTAACTTCATTAGAAAGAAATTCTTAAACAGCAAAAGTTTACCCATAATGGAAATGTGTGAGAAGTTTGCAGAGAATCTAAGTACCAACACAAGTCTGTAACTTGATGCTAGAAGTCAAGGTTTTAATATTAATTTGCAGCTTACTTTGCAGCCAGGCTTGGTGGCTCACACTATAATCCCAGCACTTTGGGAGGCGAGGCAGGTGGATCAGGAAGTCAGGAGATCGAGACTATCCTGGTTAACACACGGTGAAACCCTGTATCTAATAAAAATACAAAAACTTAGTTGGGCGTAATGCCACACGCCTGTAGTCCCAGCTACTTGGGAGGCTGAGGCAGAAGAATCACTTGAACCCAGGAGGCAGAGGTTGCAGTGAGCCAAGATCATGCCACTGTACCCCACCCTGGGTGACAGAGCAAGACTCCATCTCAAAAAAAGAAAAATAAATAAATAAATATATAATTTAAACATATATAATTTAAATATATATGTTTAAATAGGTTTAAACATATATATATATATATATATATATATATATGTATGTATTCTTTAAGTGACCATTAGACATCTGGAAACTTATCAGAAGTGAAATTATTCTGTGGATACTATTATGAAAACTTTATCATCACAGAAACAGAACATAGCCAACTATGTAACAGATACGGTGCTTGTAATGGGCTCTCTAACAAAAACCAAACAAAACCAAAAAACCAAAAAAACTAAACCTAAAAATACAGCCCTTTGCTAAGTCAGTCACTCAGAGAGAAGAGTTACTAATGAGACTTCCGTTTTTTGGCTCTTGCTCATGCGGTCTTGCAGCCTCAGTGGCTGAGTGCAATACCTACTTCCGTTTCATGCAGGCTGTTTTTCTTCATATTTAAAACCACTAGTTAGCCTGATGAGCAGTTCTCACTCTTTCTAGAAAAGAATACTCCAGGGAAATCTAAACAGCTGAGCCTCTGACAGCCCCAAGTGAGGCATGATCACTGTCTGATGGCACTCCCCAGAGGAGAGCTACCCCAAAACACTGAAGGGCCCCTCTCACTTCCTAGTGGTAACAGAAATGCTAGCCTGGAGCTCTGAACTGCCATGGAGACAATATCTAATCCAAAGTTTTCATGGTGCAAATGAATAAACAAAGAAGGTCATACCTGTGAGAAGAGGCTCACAGCCTAGGCAAGGAGCCACTCAGGATCCTGAGTCCTTGTCCATCGCTCTTTCCCTGTAGAACTTGCAACAAAACCATCTGCTTGGCAGATCTCCCTCTATGCTGGAACTGCCTTTGTGAAGCAGTTCCTAAATGTCTAAGAGTTGTGCTGTCCAATACACAAGTGATACAAGTAACACATGGCTATCAAGCACTTGAAAAGTAGCTGGTCTGGGCTGGGTGCCATCTGTAACCCCAGCGCTTTGGGAGGCTGAGGTGGGTGAATTACTTGAGGTCAGGAGTTCGAGACCAGCCTGGACCAACATGGTGAAACCCTGTCTCTACTAAAAATATAAAATTAGGTGGGCACGGTGGTGCATACCTGTAATCCCAGCTAGTTGGGAGGCTGAGGAGTGAGAATCCCTTGAATCCGGGAGGCAGAGGTTTGCAGTGAGCCAAGATCAAGCCACTGCACTCCAGCCTGAACGACAGACCGAGACTCTGTCCCCAAAAAAAAAAAAAAAAAAGTAGCTAGTCTAAACTGAGATGTGCTAAAAGTGTAAAATACACACTAGGTTTCAAAGAGTACTAAAAAAAAGATGCAAAATACGCAGTTAATAATTTTTTTCTTTTTAAAGCATGCAATTGGCATCTGAATCTCTGGTTAATTTTAAAATACTGATTACATGCTAAAATGTTTTGATATACTAGATTAAATAAAATACACTATCAAAATTAACATCTTCTGTTCCTTTTTTACTTTTCTAAAGTGGCCATTAGAAAATTTGAAATTACACAACAGGCTCACATTGTATTTATATTCAACAGCTCTGTGTTAAGAGTATAAATCTGGAAAGTACTTTGGGTCATTTAGAATGAGAGTTATATAACTGCTAGGTAATACTTTATAATATTCCTAAAAAGGTAAGTTTTTTCAAACTTACCTTTGGTCTATACACTGGTCTATACATTGCCAGGAGAACAAAAAGACTGTCTGAAATACACACTAAAAAAGAATGGGGTGGGGTGTGGTGGCTCATACCTGTATCCCAGCACTTTGGGAGGCTGAGGCAGGCACATCACTGGAGGTCAGATGTTTGAGACCAGAGACCAGCCTGGCCAACATGGTGTAACCCCATCTCTACTAAAAATACAAAACTTAGCTGGGCACAGTGGCAGGAGCCTGTAATCCCAGCTACTCAAGAGTCTGACACATGAGAACTGCTTGAACCCCAGAGGCAGACGTTGCAGTTAGCTGAGACAGCCCCACTGCACTCCAGCCAGGGCAAAAGAATGAGACTCCATCTCTAAAAAAAAAAAAAAAAAGAATAGGGGTTGGGGTGGTTGTTAACAAGGGTCTTTCTTCAGTTGCAACCTATAAAAGGAAAAATTACAGAAACTTTCAAATCCTCAAAGCATTATGTACTGAAGGAGTAAGAGGACTGCTTTAAAACTTCTAAGGGGAAGAAACAGTCCATTCTCCCATGACATCTACGTAACATTTTTGACATTTTGATGTTTGTGCAATGTTCTGAAGCTATTGATAAATAGCTTAAACAGAAGAACAAATAATCATGAGGATGTAAAAACAAATTCCAGAAGAAAAAGACGTACATGGGATGTCACTGGGAGGTGACTTACCTGGGCTGATGACCACCCAGCCACCTCGCTCCTGCTGGTGCATCCACGCCTTCCATCCTCGGGCTCCCTTTTCCCCAGCCCGGGGCTCTCCACTGTCCCAAAAGGGCTCAAAGAATTCCACCTGTTCAGGTTTTAGAATGGATGTCAGACTTCATTTGTACAAAACTGCTGAGTCAGTGGGCAAAATGAAGTGTATGATCCTTGAAATCACATTTGCCAACAGTCTTTGAAGTAGATACATGCTACATACCCCAAGATAGAAAAAAGAATGATCTACTGTGGCAGGCAGCTTCCAAGATAGCCCCCATGACCTGACCCCTGCCTCGTGGATTTCACACTGGCACATGAGCTGGACCCGGTGATTCTAACACAAAAAAATATGGCAGAAGCGATGGGAAGTCCCTCCTGAGATTAGGTTACAGAAAGACCAGTCAAGGTTCAGCAAGAAGGGTCTCCAGCTGCATAGGAAGGGAGTGGTTTCCTAGTTCTTATCTTGCCAGGCCAGTCTAACCAGGGACAGTGGCACTGCCAGTTCACCTAGTGCCACTGACCCCCAAGCTAGTCCCTAAAGTCATGCCACTTTCAAGATATTTTGAGAGGAAGGTTCCAATAAGACAGACCATGAGCTCTTGAGCACCATCATACCTTAAGTAACTATGTATTTCTAACACCTGGCACAATATTCAGTGTCTAGCAGGGACTCGATAAATACCTGTTGACACAGATACGAACAAGGTAGGCAACCAGGGAATAAAAAAGTCTGGTTTTTTTTTTTTTGAGACAGCATCTCACTCTGTCGCCAGGTGCCAGACTGGAGTGCAGTGGCACAATCTCGGCTCACTGCAACCTCCGCCTCCCGGGTTCAGGCAATTCCCCTGCCTCAGCCTCCCAAGTAGCTGGGACTATAGGCGCACACCACCACGCCCAGCTAATTTTTGTATTTTTAGTAGAGACGGGGTTTCACCATGTTGGCCAGGATGGTCTCGATCTCTTGACCTTGTGATCCACCCGCCTCAGCCTCCCAAAGTGCTGGGATTACAGGCGTGAGCCACTGCGCCTGACCTGCATTTTCTTTTTTTTGAGATGAGTTTCGCTCTTGTTGCCCCGGCTGGAGTGTGCAATGGCGTGATCTTAGCTCACCACAACTTCTGCCTCCCGGGTTCAAGGGATTCCCCTGCCTCAGCCTCCCAAAGTGCTGGGATTACAGGCATGAGCCAATTCCGCCCAGCCTAAAGGTCTGCATTTTAAAGTCTGGCCCCATTAGCGCCTCCCTCATTCATTCGTGGGTTAGATCTGCAGTGTGTGGTAAGCAGCTCACTGACAAAATCTTTCCCTATGGAACAGAACGTGAACACAGCAATGAACAGAAACGTGATCATATTATCAACTGGAAACAGGACTGTAAAAGTGAGCCAATAACCTACTCAATGAAAGCTTTTGTAAGAAACCTTTTGAAGAGGACAAGCAGGCTTCCAGTGGGCACAGCAACGGCCAGGAGGCACTGGATTATCCAGCCTGAGCCCCAGGCAGTGCCACACAGGCCTGGAAGAGCATGGCCTCCAGGAGAGCCATGTCAGGGCAGGGCAAGTGTCCTGACATGTCAGTCATGCTCAGGAAGGGGAACCAGGAAGACTACACGCCCTCTTTAGAGGTCTGGCTCTTATAAGAGAAAAGAAAGTTTACTCAAGAAAAAGAAAGGTGGTTTTTTTTTTAAATAGTGTGATAAATGAGTATAATCAATTTGTTTATTCCGCAGAAACACAGACCAGTAGTATCAGACCTGCCTGTGTTAAATCACGCTACTATGTTTATGGTAACAATGTCTCTCAGTTATAAAAGCAATATGCAATGTTATTAAATAAGAAACTTTATTCCAAAATTGTCATGTAAATGCTTTGGAATTACATGTGCTGTAGCACATGGATCAGGGTTGAGAGTGGTGGTCCTCGATGGATCACGTTCGTAGGCAGAGCCCTCCACCCATCGCTCTGTTCTTATCACAGGGGGTCTTATGAAAGGGGCGGGGGAGGGGGTGAGAGAAATTCTGATCCTGACCCACAAGACTCCTTAGAGTCAGTTGAGAAGCACTTCTATAGTACAGCCCAGTCTTAAAATCTGAAAGCATGCCTTAAAATTACTTTGTTATATGGCTTATTAATGATCGATTACAGCAATTTAAGTAGTATCATTCTTTAATCCAACTTTTTCTAGAGGTAGCATGATAAAAACGGTCTCTACTGGCAATTCATGAAACTCCCACCCAATGGAGACCTTGGCCGCTCAAGAAACACTTTTGAAATGTTCACCATAAATTCCGATATTCTATCTATCTTCCACTAGACATCTTTACAGAGTAGAAAACTGAGTTGTCTTTAGTGGAAAAAGGTAAAAGATATGTTTTCTTATTTGTACAGCTCTATAAACATTGTTTATGTCTTCACTTCATCTATCTCAAACACTGGCAATGCTCGCTTGTCATCTAAAAAATTAATCCTTCCCCATCCGGATCATTGCTGACACGGTGCCTATGTGTCATTTCATTTGAACTCTAGCAAAGATTGTGGGTACTTATTAGGTTCATTGGGGAAGTGATGCAAGACCCAAACTAGAATGTATAAGGGTGGAAGAGACCGTAAACCTTTATACAAGGTTTAAAATGGCATGACAACTGCTTCCCTGACTGGGGGAGCTAACCAGCACTGAAACAAAAGCAGAAAGAGAAGAGGGGAAGAGGGGAAGGAAGGAAAGGAGGAAGAGAGGGAGGGAGGGAAGACAGGGAGGGAGGCAGAGAGGGAGTCAGAGAGGCAGGGAGGCAGGCTCGAGGGTGAGTCCTCAGAAAGCCTTTATGTTGTGAAGGAGGGGGAAGCTTCATTTTACCTATCCACATCTCACTAGTTTCATTACAAAACTTTCCTTGGATAACTGGACTACTTCTGAGAAGTCCTCCTCAGCAGACTGATATAAAGGAGGATATGGTATTTTAAAAACACTACCACCACCTCTCATTACCCACACCTTCCCCGTCTCCCTCCAGAGAAGGAGACAGAGAGAAGAGAGACGAGGAGAGCAGAGCTGGGTACCTGTCCTTTGGTAGGCATCTCTTTCAGGCTGTCAGGTTTGAAGAAGGTGAAGTCCACCATGGCCTGGAACAATGAGATGGCCTTCTCAGAGTGGCCGGCCTGCCGCAGAAAGTGGCACTGCTGAAGAAAGAGTGCTGCGAACAGGAGGGCAGAGGGGAAGAAGCCTGGTTGCCACCCTTAAAGGGAAAGAACTAACTTCTCAAAAACAGGCAATTAACACACTTTTACCTGCAATCCCTGTTAATTTCCAAAGCTGCGACACATGCCCTGATTTAAAGTGACTCAAACAGTATTATAATCCAAGTATGTTCGTTCGAATTCTTGTGTGAAACCCTCACAGAACATAAATATTAACAATAAAAACTGTATATGGTACATAGAAATAAGTCGAGAGGTTGGTCTGAATGCTATCAAATAATCAGAGTTCATTATTACAAGAAAAACTATAGAAAAAGGATGGCGCAGCAAATTTTTATCAGAAAGCAAAGAGCTGTATTCAATTGATCACTAGATGGCATGAGTCACCAGCAACTTTCATCCCATGTTCAGAGTCGGCTGTAAACAAATCAAGATTCCACGTCTGAACACTGCAGTTCATCTTACTTGTGGTACAATTCCAGCTACTAAATCATACTCAGCTATTTGAGTAGATCACAAACAGTAACAAATTCAAGACTCTGTGTCAGTGGGATACATGCTTATCATTTTGGGAGCAATGCATTTCTATCTTTAGATGCCAACAGGAATTAACGTGCAGCAGCAGGGGTTGCGATCAAATCAATGCCCGCTCTGTGCCGGACACTGAGCTAGACTCGTCACAGATGATCTCCTTCACTGCACACCACGGTCCTGTAAAGCAGGTTTATAGTATAGTTGCTGACAGAGAAAACGGAGCTCAAAGAGGGCTTGCCCAAGGACACAGCAGAGCCAATGAAGGGCAAAGCCTTCAGGATTCAAGGTCAAGAGTGATTACCCTGGCTCTGCACAACATGCAGCCTCCGACATCTCACTACTGCCAAAATTTATACTCCAGGCTCCTTCAGGACACACCAAAAATGTTAACAGCACAGTAATACCCACGACTTCTATTTATGCAGTGGTTCTCAGTCAGGGCATCTCACGGACATTACTGCCCGCGACTCTATAATTGGGTGAGACGGGTACAAGCATCTCAACAGATAAGGCCATCAACTGCCAAAGCAGTTAAGAGACTGGCCTGTGTTTACGTGGTTAATAAGCAGAACTTTGTCCAATGATATTTTCTTAACTGTACTGGCTCTATTGCCCCCACCCGTCCTGCGAGCTGGGGGCAAATCTGTTATCAACAAGAGTCATAATACTTTTTAAAAAATATCAGTTCTATCAAACAATTTAGACTTTTTCCAGAATAAACCAAAAAGAGATTTTCATTTTCAAGTAAAGCCAAAAGAAAGTCTAACTCCTCCCACGTAACTGGATCTGGTTATCTCCTTACCAAACATGGCCTCTTCTGTGCCAGGCAACGCAGGGTGAGATAAGATGCTGCCGTCCTTAACAGCAGACAAAGTACTCAAGCATTTTCCATAAAGACTGTGAATTTTTGATATCGAAAAGGTACTAAACTGGCTCTGGCAAAACAAAAGGTATTTCTGCCACAGGGCTGTATTATTGGGATGTAAAAATATCAGTTTCTGCCACTCTTTGACCAGAGTGGAGGGCTCCCAGAACTCTGTGCAGAGCTTCAGCTTGGCCAGTTTCAGATCCACACTGCTCTGGTTGCTCTCAATGGCCCGCTCCAGGATGGCCAGCTTCTTCTCCAGAATGAGCTTCAGGGACCGCTTTCGCTTTTCCTGCTCTCCTTCCTCGATGGCATACAGCCCAGGACTTTTCATGACCTCGTCCTCAACAACAAAAACACCAATTTACAAATGCGAATGGACCTGAGGGATCCTGAGAGTTTCAACAATGCTTAGCCACTTTCTTACCACCCCCTGGGGAAATGTCATTCAAGTTTTCTTCAACCACTGGTTTGCCACAATTTCTTTTAAAGAAAACTTGGATCCTAAGGTGCTTGTGTCACCTGGTATATCTGATCTTGTGTTTATCACTTAACTGTCCACTTTCTGTAATTTGAAACTTTGATATCTGTATCAATAACTAGCAAACAATGCCTTGAAATTCTTTTCTTAAGAGCAGACATTACCAATAAAAGGGCCAAATGTGGGACAAAATATGGTAATTGTATGACTGGTTCAAAATGAGGGACTCAGACCAACCCATAAGTTTTTCAAAGGGAGTGCATGGCTCCAACTGGGTAATACACCGGGCAGCTCTTTCTCTTTCACAATTCTGTGAGCTCTGCCCTTTCTGCGTACCTCAGGAATGCCTCTCCCTATCTGGTGAACATCTCTTCTTTCACGATTGTGTTCCACTTTCACCTTTTCCTTCTTGGTAGCTCTTTCTCCTCCCTCACTGCAAGTCACCTCTCACTCCACTCCCAAGTTACACATTACAGCATTTACTACCCCAGGGTACACTTATTCTTCACATGTCCATCTTCCTCATTGGACTTTGAGCAAGCTCAGGGCAAAGGCTCCCTTCTAATCATCTCCGCATGCCCAGTGTCAAATTTCCTCATAAGCTCAAAAACTGCTGCAGAGTCCATCAGTTTGCCCACAATCATGAATGTCCCTCTAAGGTAAGAGAATTGGGATGGTAACACATACCTGAAAAGCAACAAATGCCATCCACAGCTGCGTATCCCGCGGATTCTCCCGCACCCTCCTGTTAAACTCCTCCACCCTGGCCTTGAGAGCTGCACTCTCGCTGTCTGGCTGTGTGTCTGGCTGCTTTGATTCCTGCTCTGGAGGACCCTGTCCTTGTAGCCACTGTGTGGTTGACTGATCATAAATCCCCAGAGGATTCAACCAGGTTGTAACAGGAGCTGCATCTTCCAAGTCCTTCACTGGTATAAAGGAGGCGGGGTCAGATGATGGAGGTTCAGTTTTACTGCTAATGGCAATTCCATCAATGTTCATTAACCCCACACTCTTCTTAGTAAAATAGCGTTCAACCTGCTTGCGTGAATGCTTCTTCTCTGTGGAAGTCCCTTCCCAAGATATGCGTTGCTTCACAGGATTAATGCCAAGGCAGGAGTCTCCTTTCCTCTTGTATCTTATATTAGGAAAAGAAAAAAAGTTACTGAGGGAATATGTGCACTACCTCTGAATGACTGAAGGCTCATTAGACCTAAACTCTTGTTATGCAAGTTAATTGCATCTAGCCAAATTCACCTTACCTTCAAAGTGTTTCTATTTGGAGACACACAAGGACCAGCAATTAACTTTCTTTCTGCCTGGCTTGACTTCTTCCTATAGCACTTCAACTCTTCATTAACATCTCATGAATTTAAGATCACGCCTGTCTTCCAGATCTTAGTAATTTCTATTTTCCTGCAGCCTTGTAAAGAACTGTCACACACATTATGTCATTCGATCATCACAGCCACATGTGACAGGCAAGGCAAAAATCATCTTCCCCTCTCTTAACTGTTCTTAAATAAGGACACAGGCCTGGGAACCTGGATCATCTGTCTCCTAAACCGGTCCTGTTTCCTCAATATTTTCCTGTGTCCCTACTTAAGAAGATAACATAGAGGCCTAAGATTCTTTTTTTAATCCTGAAACAAAGTATGTCAAATGAAATTACATTTGGTTATTTTCTACTCTAGAGGAAAAGAGGTTGGGTTCTAAAATGCTTTTATGGAACGTGTAGGTGTCCCCAGAGTTAACAAACACATGACTACTAAATATCTGCACAGGCAAAAGCTAAGGAAAAGTGTACATTTTTCTGTATGTCTGTTAGCAAACAACGCAATTTAAAAATGGGCAAAAGATCTGAACTGAAATTCCACAAAAGAAGACATGAATAGCCAATAAGCACATAAAAAATACTCAACATCATTAGTCAACAAGGACAGGCAAATGAAAACCACAATGAGGTACCCCACACACCAACTAGAACCGTTTTTAATTAATACTTAAAAGGCTGACACCACCAAATGTTGATGAGTAACCTGGGGAGTAATCAGGACTCTCATCTGCTGTCAGCGGGAATGTAAACTGGTATAATCGCTTTGGGAAAAGATCTGGCCATTTCTTAAAAAACTAAACACAGACCTGACCTATGACCCAGCAATTCTATTCCTACATATTTACCCAAGAAAAAGGAAAGCACACGTCTACACAAAGACGTGAGCACAAATGTTTTCGGTAGCTTTATTCCTAGCAGCCAAACGTTGAAAGAGTCCACGTGTCCACCAATAAAAGACAGAAAAGTAAATGGAGGTACACACCCATACAATGGAACACTACCAGCAGTAAAAACAAGCTACTGGTAAGTGCCTTACGGATGGACGGATCTCAAAAACATTACGCCAAGTGAAAGAAGCCAGATACAAAAGAGTACACACTGTGTAATTCCACTTACGTGCTTTTTAGAACAGGTAAAAACTAATTGATGGTGGAAGAAAATTAGAACGGTGATTGCCTCTGGGAGGATGGGGTGCAGACACCAGAAAGAGCACAAGGAAACTTTTGGGGGTCGCAGGAATATTTCACATTTTAATAGAGGTCTGGGTTATAGAGGAGTGTATGTGTTTGTCAAAACTCAAGAGAATGAAGCTTTGTGCATTACACTGCATGTAAATTTTCGATCAAAAGAATAAAACTAAATAAATACTGACCTCTAGTTAATAATATACACACTGCAGTAGTTGGGGAGTTATTGATCTCAGTGTACTTTGAAATGCATCAAAAAAATAAGATGGGTTGATGGATGGACAGATATGATAAGCAAGTACAGTACAAGGTTAATGGTAGACGTGGGGGCAGGAATACGAGCATCCACTGTAAAATACTTTCAATCTTTACTGTGTATTAAAAATTTTTTCCTAATAAAACTGGAAATGCTGTGGGGAGCAAAAGGCAGGGGAGAACTGCCTTCATCTTCTGTCAGCTCCCAGGATGCTCTGCTCCACTTCACCCTGGTTCAGGGCCTGGCTCTCTCCCATCACCTCTATGGCTTCTCCACCGCCAACAGGTCCCCTCTGAGTGCCTCTGCCCCACTCACTAACCACACACGGCGCATTCCACTGTATGGGACTATTTTCTCACACAGACATAAACATTCTCTCTCAAACCCTTTGTCTAGTCTCCCTCCCAATTCTTTCTGGATTTTTCTCATGATAATCTCTTGCCATTCCATTTATGAGTCAAAAACAACCTTAACAAAGGTGTGATGAGATAAAATAGCACTAACGTCGTTCTAAACAAGGCTGTCATTCCCTAAGGAACAAACTTGAAGTTAAAAAGCTAGTTTTGTTCTCCTTAATTTTCTGTTAATAGTATTGATTCCTCATTAGTCTCACAAAAAACATACAGTATTTAAGATATTCATGAAATCTCCTGAAAAATGTTCACTGTTTCCTGACCTTAAACTAACAGCTGCATTTTTGTAAATTAGATGAAAATGATAAGAGAAGGAAAAAAAACATGTTACCGGCCTATATTACTATCTACTTTCAGATGCTACATGTGTTTCAGTACGTATTTACTGTGTGCACATATATCCTTTTGTTTTTGTTTTGTTTTTTTTGAGGCGGAGTTTTACTCTTGTCGTTCAGGCTAGAGAGCAATGGTGTGATCCTGACTCACTGCAACCTCCGCCTCCTGGGTTCAAGCGATTTTCTTGCCTCAGCCTCCCGTATAGCTAAGATTACAGACATGCCACCACACCCAGCTAATTTTGTATTTTTAGTAGAGACGGGGTTTCTCCATGATGGTCAGGCTGGTCTCGAACTCCCGACCTCAAGTGATCCACCCACCTCAGCCTCCCAAAGTGCTGGGATTACAGGCATGAGCCACCGCACCCGGACATCCTTTTTAAAAACAGTTGATATCACACAGTTTCAGGTCATCCTCCCTACTTAAAAGCATTTCCGCATACCATTAATCTTAGAAAATATAATTGCTATTGACTTCAAACTGTTCCATTGGATGGATGTGCCAATAATTTATTTAACCACTTCCCTACTGTTACACCTTTAGGTTGTATCCAATTTACTTAGCATTAAGATCTTAATAATTAGGACCTAGGCTATAATCTAACACAATATTCTCCCAAATGAAGGCACTTTTCCTATAAAATCCTTATCAAATAATCAACTAATGGCTGGGCATGGTGTCTCAAATCTGTGATCCCAGCTCCTTGGGAAGCTGAGGTGGGTGGATCAGTTAAGGCCAAGAATTTGAGACCAGCCAACATGGTGAAACCCTGTCTCTACTAAAAAAACAAAAATTAGCCGGGTGTGGTGTGGTGGTACATGCCTGTAGTCCCAGCTACTTGGGAGGCTGAGGCATGGGAATTGCTGCAACCCTAGGAGGCAGAGGTTGCCGTGAGTCAAGACTGCACCACTGCACTCCAGCCTGGGCAACAGCAATGCTCTGTCTCAAAAAAACAAAATCAGCTAACTTTCATTTGAATAATTCCAGAAGTAGGAACCCCAACTTTGTTTTAAGGTTCCATGAATGCCATATGTATATTTAATTTAAATGAATGCAGCTACTGGCTCTTGGCCATAAACAAAAGAAAACTAAAAACACACGGCGTGGGGAGGGGCAGAGGAAGGCCAAGTGCATTTTACTGGAGCACGCCTTTCTGCCCGGAATCTACTCAGTGGGTCTGCGCCCCAGGAGGAGTGGGGCTGGCAACACTGACTTGCCTTTCCTTGCTTGCCGTCCATTCTCAATGCCCTCACAGTGCCAGACTGCTCAGTCCAAATCCCTACCCCACTATTTACTAGTTGGGTGATTGTGATCAAGTTATTAAAAATATATAAAATAAAAAATAATCTGTGCCTCAGTTTCCTCATCTGTAAAATGTAAATAACATGCCTATATCATGCAGTTGCTATTAATTTTTTTTTTGAGACAGAGTCTTGCTCTGTTGCCCAGGCTGGAGTGCAATGGCACGATCTCAATCTTGACTCACTGCAACCTCCGCCTCCCAGGTTCAAGCGATTCTCAAGCCTCATACTCTTGAGTAGCTGGGATTACAGGTATGTGCCACCACACTTGGCTAATTTTTATACTTTTAGTAGAGACGGGGTTTCACCATATTGGCCAGGCTGGTCTCAAACTCCTGACCTCAAGCAATCCACCCGCCTCAGCCTCCCAAAGTGCTGGGATTACAGGCGTGAGCCACTGCAGACGACTAAAAAAAAATTTTTTTAGGGTCTCCCTCTGTTGCCCAGGCTGGAGTGCTATGATGCAATCACAGCTCACTACAGCCTCAAACTCCTTCAAGCAGTCCTCCCACCTTAGCCTCCTGAATAGCTGGGACTATAGGGACATGCCACCATACTCAGCTAAGTTTTTAATTCTTTGTAGGGATATAGACTCACTATGTTGCTCAGCCTTGTCTTGAACTCCTGGCCTGAAGCCATCCTCCTGTGTTGGCCTCCCAAAGTGCTGGGACTACAGGTATGGGTCACTGCACTTGGCCAAAAATGTTTATATATGTAAAGTCCTTAGAAGAGTGTCTGCCATACAATGAGGGTTAGATAAGTTTAAATTATTATTATTTTATCAAAGTTGGCTCCTAAACATAGGCCAAGTATTTTATCTGGTGTATAGCCAAAGAACTAACAATCTATTCCAAAAATGGAGAAAAACTGAGCTAAATTTCACTATCAGACAGTATATTAGTCTTAAAGGAATTTTCCAAATATAGTTTGACTCCAATTTTCAAGTTATACACTAACTTTAGAACCTAACCCCTGCTTACTTACCATATACTCGATACTCAGTGTCACTGCAGGATGCTCACGCGAGCAGAAGTGCTACTCTACACTGAGCCAAATCTGACTTCCTGGAACTTCCACTCATTAGTACTGGTTCTGACTTCACAAGTCACACAAAATATTGTCAATCCAGCCTCCAAGGGACGGTCTAACAAAGCTTAAAAGACAATGATCGGGGTTAGGAGGGGGGAAAAAAGAAAAAAAGACAATGATCATATCCCTGCCTAGGCCAAATGCCCATCTAGTCCTCACATGACAGTGCCAGTCAAATCCTAACTGCTCACCTTCATTTCAATGCTCTCGGTCTGTCAGCGTTCCTCCTAAAGTGTGAAAATTCAGTACCTGACATAAAATTGGGAACTGCAGAACCAACTAGTTCCACTTTGTCAACAACAGAATGATGAGGTTTTTTTCAGTTGCACTGGACCCACAGCTTGCAAGTCACAAGCACATGCAGATTAATCAAGTGTGCACAACTGGTGACCCCAAAGCCAAGGAACAAAAATGTCAACTGCATTGGGAACCAAGATACCTGAACCAAGGAGCATGGACCAAATTAAGAAGTGAGGGGAGCTGCTGCAATATGAACTTAAGTGCCAAGAACCCTACACTGTCTGTCTGCATAACCAATGAAACCACGCCTCGATGCATTTTCCTAGCTCCCTCACAGTTACTCTCTTCCTATAAAATACAGACCTCATCTGGCGGTGACAGATTCAAATGCTACCTCCTGTCAACCTTGCCATAAAGTTGCTTCTTTTCCTGAAAGCTGGTGCCATCGTACTGACTTGGGGCATTGAACCTCTTGCTCAGTGACAGTATTCCCACTGTCCTCTTACCAGCTCAGAGTGCCATGAGATCAATAACTTCCCAGACCTGGACACTAAAAGTTATATAGCTACTAATCCAGGCAAGATGTATCTTGTGTAAACTTTACCGAATTGCTAGGAAATCACAATGGGCTAAGCCCTCTAGCAGTAGTACCCCTGAGGTTTAGATTCAACAGGCTGTCTCCAATGACTCTCTTCCTGAGGTCTGTGCCATTCATTAGCAAAAGCTCAGGAGCCACTCTTTCTTAGTACATCCTCCTCTTTTCATCTTTTAATAAATACTAACCCTTTATATTTGCATACCAATTTCCAATTCCGTGTCAAATAATCTGATATGTGAGTGCAAGCCATGGCAGAAGTTACAATTTCCAATTTACGAATGAAGAAATGGAGGCTCAGACAGGTCAGGTGACTTGCCTGGGACTATACTGCTAGTAAATGGGACTATATTGCTTTATAAATTATCCAGTCTCAGGTATTTATTCATAACAGTATGAAAATGAACTAATACAGTATCCAATATTTTAGTTTCCCTGGGCCCCACTGGAGGAAGAACTGTCTTGGGCCACACATAAAATATACTAACACTATTGATAGCCGATGAGTTAAAAAAAAAAAAAAAAAGAAAGAAAGAAAGAAAGAAAAATCACAAAAAAATGTCATAATGTTTTAAGAAAGTTTACAAATTTGGGTTGGGCCTCATTCAAAGCCATCCTAGATCACATGCAGCCCAAGGGCCATGGGTTGGACAAGCTTGGCCTAGAGGGTTTAGTAAGTACTCGAATATTTTTGATTGCCAGATTAGAGTGGATAAGTTCAAACTCATTACTAAAGCAAATATCACCTATTTTTATGATTATCTGATGGTGTATGCTAGAAACATTTTGAAAAAGTCCTTACCATTAAATGCCATTTTTAAAATGACAGATGTGGGGGGTAGATAAATAAAAAGCTTTGCAACTTTTAAAGACAGCAAATAGGTTAGCCTGAATGGTTACCAGATATTCTGCCACAATTAATTATTACAAGGTACTTTTGGATTCACTTATTAGCAAATATTTATTGAACACCTTTGGTGCCAGGCACTATGGCAAGCACCAGGGACAAGTAAGCTTAATCTGACTTAACTTCAAGTGTTAAGCTTTCTTTTTAGAATATGAGATGAGACGTGTGCCTGAACAATGTAATAAAAACCAACAGAATTGATGAGAGAGAGAAACAGGCAGGCAGACAGTGCTAAGAGAGCTCCGAGGAGAAAAAAGTTACTTTCCAACTTCGAAAACCCAGGTAAACAAGGTGGCTACCTTGCTATATCCCCTCGGTAGAGAGACTTGTATTCCCAGTTCGCAGGATCTGGTTTCTTATCTGTTCTGAAGGTTTCTCCTGTCACAGCCTGAATGTCCTCAAGCCAAACAAAGCGATGTCCAGTATCAGCTGCCGCATTATTTCCTTGACTGTGGGACAAAGGAAGAAGGGACTTTAAAAATCTTCCACTGACACAGTTGGCATTTTCAGCAATATTAAACACTCCAAACTCCACAAGGCATCAAACACATCGAAATACATAAAATGTACACGTGCCATAGAGATGGAAGAGGACTCTCGCTCTGGGCAAAGAGTTTTAAAAAATAAGGGAAGGCTGGGCGTGATGGCTCGCACCTATACTCCCAGCGATTTGGGAGGCCGAGGCAGGCAGATCACGAGGCCAGGAGTTCAAAAGGAGCCTGACCAACATGGTAAAACCCATCTCTACTAAAAATACAAAAATTAGCCAGGCACAGTGGCATGCACCTGTAATCCCAGCTATGTGGGAGGCTGAGGCAGGAGAATCACTTGAACCCAGAAGGCAGAGATTGCAGTGAGCCGAGATCACGCCACTGCACTCCAGCCCGGGCAACAGGGCGAGACTCTGTCTCAAAAAAATAAGTAAATAAAAATAAAGCAAAACCTGTCACCACTAAATGACACTCTACCAACAAAAGAAGTCTTCTTGTCTCAAAATGTAACCCGAATAATACAGGTGTACAGTTCTTTTAAATATTTCATTTAGATTACTGTATCTTGAATTTCCTTTATATTTATAAACAAGGTCTTTTCCTAAAAAGTATTCCTGCTCTGAGGCACCTTGGAGGGCTAGGCAGAGGCAACTACCACACCTCCAAAGGTGACAACCACTGACATTAATGTGCACTGCCCTAACTTCACCTAACTTACTTGAACGTGACTTCTTTATTCCAACTCAAAATTTCTTTAAAAAGCCACGGTTCTGAACTGCTCAGCCTCCACTATTACTTAGGCTTGGTCTCAGCCTCATTTTTATAGTCTGGACTCTATTCACCGTTTTGCTTATACGTGTGGACCTCATATGTAAAGGGCAGAATCACGAGGCTCCCATGAAGACAAGATCCTAAGCTATCTCTCTGAACCAATGTGTGAGCTGGCAGTCTTTCAGCTCAGGTACAAAAGGAACCCCTCCCAAGGCGTTGAGAGCTCTTCCCACATCTAACATCTTCTAGAGAAAATCAGTTGATAATGCTGCTGACACAAGAAGCTGCCAAAGTGGTCAAAACAGCCATTAACTGTTGTTCCATCTCTGCTTTTCAGCTCTGCCCAGGTAAAAATAAAAATTCTGGAGGCTTCTTAATTATTCTTGGCAGGGAATACAAGGGAATGACATTTCAGAAACACTAAATAGCTACTCAATACATAGTTGTTGAATGATGACCCTCAGGTTAATGTATGGAGATTTTAACACATCCCCTTCAGAACAACTGCAGAGGGCTTTCTGTCTACAAAAACCATAAGGGCCAATGAAAAGATGGAGAGCTTACTACAAACTGATTGATCCATTTGAGAAAGAAATGGAAAGCCAACTGGGAGAAAAAAAGCATAGGCCAGCTGCAGACCACTCCACCACTCCGGAGGAGTAATCAGGCATTTTCCTCTCCTACTGGGCTAAGGAAGCAGGATGTGGTAGTCTGGGCTCTGTGCGAGAAAGGAGCTGCCTCCACCTGAGGGGGAGGGAAAGCTCATCCCAGAAACCCAAGGTAAGTTAGTAGCTGTGGCCTCTGGGGAAGCCATTCGTCATCACCCTGAAACAGTCTCATGGGGTCTGCTACCCTCATAAACCCACTTTCCTGACATCATGGAAAGAGTCTCACAACTCAGTAATACTGTAGTCCTTGTCTATGTGGAAATAGTTCTTCCAAGTCACATTCTCTGGAAGAGAATACGTAAGTTAATAACAAGAAAGTAAAAAAGGACAAGAACAATCTTAATAAGGATATTCTATAAAATATCAACAAACTTAAAAATCATAAAACTATCCAGTTTTATCTGGATCATAAAACTCTGAGCTGTGAAGATCCCCTGACATGATTCAGCATAGACTGAAATTAACTATCCTTCAAGTTCTAAAGATAGTTCCTATGTGGTTTCGGGAAATCCTTTAAAACTCATTTTCCTCAGCTATAAAAAAGGACAAGTAGCTAAAAGGCGAATTTTGGGAAGACATAACAATTAAAGTAGCTTGCTTTAAAGACACAGTAAAAAGTAAGGATACCAAAAACATATTCATTCATTCATTCATTGAACAAAAACGCATGAAGTACTTACTCTGTGTCAGGCCCTGTGCACCAAGTACTGGGGGAGTATAGTGGTAAGCAAGACAGGCCTGATTCCTGCATTCAAAAATTCAGTCAAATTCAGAACCTTTTGGCTCAACTGCTTAATTTTTTCCTCTAAAGAGCAAGCTTGCAGCCGGGAATCGAGCGCACGGCCTTGGGCAGTTGAGCACCAAGAGCCCACCAATTGAGCTAACTGGCTTGGGCCGGGTGCGGTGGCTCACGCCTGTAATCCCAGCACTTTGGGAGGCCAAGGCGGGTGGATCACGAGGTCAGGAGATCGAGACCATCCTGGTCAACATGGTGAAACCCCGTCTCTACCAAAAATACAAAAAATTAGCTGGGCATGGTGGCGCGTGCCTGTAATCCCAGCTACTCTGGAGGCTGAGGCAGGAGAACTGCCTGAGCCCAGGAGGCGGAGGTTGCGGTGAGCCAAGATCGCGCCATTGCACTCCAGCCTGGATAACAAGAGCAAAACTCCGTCTCAAAAAAAAAAAGAGCAAGCTTGGGTTACAGGTAGAGCATATGAGATACAGAGAGGGCTACATTAATCTAGCTCCTCTGAGCCACACCGGCCTGCAGTGCTCTCCAACACAATCTGATGACAGAGGGATCCCGTAGCCTGCAGTGACTGGCTCTCAGAAGTAGCATTAACGGCCAGGTTCCAGACTTGTTCCGTTACAGAGCTCTCACTGACATCAATGGGACTTCTAAGCACACAATGGAAGTAATTAACTCCTGAAGGCCAGGCGCAGTGTCTCATGCCTGGAATCCCAGGACTTTGGGAAACTGAGACAAGTGGATTGCTTGAGGCCAGGAGTTCAAAACCAGCCTTGGCCAACATGGCGAAACCCCATCTCTACTAAAAATACAAAAATTAGCCGGGTGTTGTAGTGCATGCACTGTAGTCCCAGCTACAGTGTGTACCTATAGTCTAAGCCTGAGGCATGAGAATCGCCTGAACCTGAGAGGCAGAGGTTGCGGCAAGGTGAGATGACCACTGCACTCCAGCCTGGGTGACATAGCGAGACTCTGTCTCCAAAAAAAAAAAAGGGAAAAAAAATTCCTGAAGAGTTGCAAAAATATCAACAGCACTATTTCTTTTTTAAAGATGTTCTAGACAAGTACCTAAGTTTTCTCTCTTCTAGACCATCCAAGCAAAAAAAGGAAAAAGTTAAATAATCAACAATTCAGGTAGTTTCACCATATACCACCTGTCCCACCTACAGGCAAATACCCCTCTACTTAGGAGGACGTTCAACTAGGAACAGAGAAAAACCTGTATTGAGCACCTATGCCATGGCCGTTCTGCAGAATGCATTGAAAAATATGCTCAAGGTAGAAAGCAGAGTAGGTCAGGAGCAGTGTCTCATGCTCGTAATCCCAGCACTTTGGGAGGCTGGGGTGGGTGGATCAACTGAGGTCAGGAGTTCAAGACCAGCCCGGCCAACATGGTGAAACCCCATCTCTACTAAAAATACAAAAATTTAGCCAGTTTGGTGGCAGATGCCTGTAATCCCAGCTACTTGGGAGGCTGAGGCAGGAGAATTGCTTGAATGCGGGAGGTAGAGGTTGCAGTGACCCAAGATCGCGCCACTGCACTCCACCCTGGGCAACAGGAGTGAAACTCAGTCTAAAAAAAAAAAAAAAGAAAGCAGAGTAAAATATGGGAGAAATAAAGTCCCCAAGGAATGGACATACTGTAGTCATGAGCTGTTTTATACCACCTTCAACACAGTGGTCCTGAATAAATATGAAAAGGAAAAGGAAAAACGTGACAATTAATTAAGTGCTATGTTATCTTAAAGTGTGTGTGATCACGTACACACACAGAAGCTGGTAGGAGTGACCGAGTGAAAGACATATCAAGGCAGAGAAAGAAGACTTTGTTCCTCTTACCCTGAGTGTGGAGACCCACCGCCCTCGGACAGGGAACCCTTATCTATGCGGTGCACTGACTCACAGGCCCACTGTGGCACATCTGCCATCTTTTGAAAATCCCAGACTTTTTGTCTGAACCAGACTCACACAATCATTACTGTGTCTAATAACATTTCTCAAATAAAATCATGCCCCTGACTTGTTCCTTTTCTTTTTTAAGCTGATATAATGGTAGAGCTCTCTTCTGACTAAACGGTTATTCAAATATCTAATTTGCGGCAACAATTAAGGGAGAAAAACTCAAGACTTAAAATATCATAGGGACTCGAGAACAGCAACCTACTTCGGTTTCTCAGATTCCTTTTTACGGCCTCCGATGGCTCTGGAAGGTCTGTCCTTTTCAGAATCAGTGTCTGTCTCCGACCTACTGCTACTCGACTGTCCATGTTTCCTCTTTGTTTTCTTATGATGCTGATGCTTCCTTCTTTTCTTTTTCTCTTTCTTCTTTTTTCTGCTTGTTTGTTTGAGCTTTTTGTTAGTGTCACTTTCATCTGAAGGCTCTGATTTCAGAGGACTCCTGTTTGGGAAAACCAACTTTAGAATTACTTTCTAAAAAGACATAGGAAAAATAATGATCCGTAAATAAGTCAACCAATACTTAAGAGGGAACTCTATAAATGTTCACACGGATTTACTATT